TATGACTTTGCTATTTTTATTGTTGTGTGCCTTCTCCTTATTTCTAATTTATGGTAACCCTAAGACCAACCTATCACAGGTCTGACTTGGCGAAAGATGTTTGAGAGCAGGTTTTGCCTTTGCCTTCCAGCGAGGCTAAGAAAGTTGTGCCTTGCCCTAGGTACATAAGGCAATGGGTTTCCATGGCTGAACAGGGATTTAAATACTGGCCTCCAGCACTCCAAGCAGTATGTCAGAAAAATTTAATGTGCAGATTTGAGAAATGTGAATTTAATAAGTTGTGTGGGAATGAATGGAAAAATGTAAAATGAATATATGGATGGAGCTAATAATTTTGGAGACACCAGTATAATATTAAGGCCCACAATGACTAACTACCTGCTTGATGGACTGTAATTAAAAGTTGGTAATGAGAAATGAAAAGTAAACTCTGATAAGAATTGGGACAATGATAACAGAAATGTTAACAATGTTAAGAAGGAAGTCAACATAAGATCAACACCAATCACGAAGATCAACATCTGGCCAGGAAACTGAGATGAAGCCAGGATGGAAGACGTCTATCGTTCCTTTACAACTTTGGGACTACATCAACAGAATATTCCTATAAGAGACTCAGTCTAATAATGCTCAAATTGTGACAGACAGAGATACTGTTCATCCGCTATGCTCTGCTCCATGGGAAGGAGAGAGATAATGTACCATGAAGTGGCAGATTTACAAGGGAGCAGTCTGGTCACTTCTTTCTTTCTCAAGGGGCTTCTTTCTCAAGGAAAGAGGAAGATGTGCACTTTTGGAGTCTTGGATTTTGTGCAGGGAGTCAGGTTCTGGTATATGGAAAACAGAGATCTGATCCTTGGCATTGTTCTTAGGGAAAGAAGTTTTGGCACTCCAGCGTTTTGAAATTTTGGTATTATGGAACTGTACATTGACAGGCTGCAGGAAAGCAGGGTCTGGCCTAACAGGTGCTTCTCCAAGGAGGGAGAAAATTATATGGTAATATTTGAATACCTGAGGATGAATGTGTGTACATGTGCTGTGAATGCTGAGTGAAAATGTAATTCCCCTTTGTTTGTTAGCCATGTAATTGTAAATCCAATATAGTTGCATAGAATCTGTATGTCTGTATGTCTAAATGCTTTTCTGTAATCTGATATACCCTCTCAAACTGGAAATTGCAATAAAAAGAATCTATGCTTTAAAGCAGGGGTCCTCAAACTTTTTAAACAGAGGGCCAGGTCACAGTCCCTCTAACTGTTGGAGGGCCGGATTATAATTTGAAAAAAACATGAATGAATTCCTATGCACACTGCACATCTTATTTGTAGTGCAAAAAAAACACTTAAAAACAATACAATAATTAAAATGAAGAACAATTTCAATTATTAGTATTTCAATGGGAAGTGTGGGCCTACTTTTGGCTGATGAGATAGGATTGTTGTTGTTGTTGTGTGCTTTCAAGTCATTTCAGACTTAGGTTGACCCTGAGCGAGGGCCGGGTAAATGACCTTGGAGGGCCGCATCTGGCCCCCGGGCCATAGTTTGAGGACCCCTGCTTTAAAGTCATTAAAAAATCATCCATGACAAGTACACTATACCAATGATCAGCTTTAGAAAATATGTCGCATGAATCAAACCCTGGAAAAAAACTGATACATTGGATTTCAGCTGCCAAAATTCCTCAACCAACCAAGATTGCAATTCAGACAAAAATAAGAGGGGAACATGCTGCAATATATTTTGTCTTTACCCTAGCACCATACACTTTGTCCCGATACAAAAGTGTCTGGGGTAGAAAGCATGTCTCTTTTTATGATTCAAGTTAACTATGTTCACACTAAAACAACAGTTTAGAAAAGGGAAGGTTTGTGTTACTCACAAACAGCATCCTTTTTGGCCAGCCTGTCTGGATATTGTACAGGTTGAGTGTCTCTTATCAAGGTTCCCTAAATCTGAAATATTCTAAAACCCAAAACTGGCCACATGGGTAGCAGAAAAACTGATTCCTTTTCTTTCAGTGGTAAGATGCACACAAACTTCTTCATGCACAAAATTATGAAAAATACTGCATATAAACATATGTATCAGGTTCATATGAAACATAAATGAATTTCGTGTTTTGATTCAGGCACTATCTCCAAGACATCTCATTATGTTCATAATAGTCATGTTTAAATATGTGAAAAGATGTCATATTGAGGAGGGGGCAAGCTTGACCTGGAGACAAAAACAGTAGCAATTGATTCAAATTGCAGAAAAAAGATTGCATCTAAATATTAGGAAGGATGTCCTGACAGTAAGAGCTGTTTGGCAATGGAGTATGCTGCCTGGGAGTGTGATAGATTCTTCTTCTCCAGAGATTTTTCAGCAGAGGCTGGATGTTGGGAGTGCTTTGATTCTGTGAACCTACAGGGATTGGACTGGATGGCCTCTGTGGTCTCTTTCCAACTCTATGATGCTCTATAAGCAGAAACACACTTAAAAATCTAAAAAAAATATCCTCAAAATCCAGAGTCCTTCCACACTGCCATATAACCCAGAATATCAAGGCAGAAAATCCCACAATGTCTGCTTTGAACTGGGTTAGTCGAGTCCACACTGCCATATATTCCAGTTCAAAGCAGTTTATGTGTGATTTTATTCAACTGTGTGGAAGGAGTCCCAAACATTTCTGGTCACAAGCATTTTGGATAAGGAATAGTTAACCTGTATTTCTTCCAATATGTATGTTTTTGAGCATTGGGCTAGGATTCTGGAGATCAGGGTTCAATTCTCTGCTCAGCCATGGAAACCCACTAGGTGGCCTTGCAGGAGTCGCATACTCTCAGCTCCAGAAAACTGCATAATAGAGTCACTATCAGTTGGAAATTACTTTGGAGGCAATGAAAAAAAAGTGTGGGACACCACCTTTTCAGAAAACACCTATAGGTAGTCCCTGAATTCCAAACACCCACTTACAAACAAACCATAGTTACAAAGGGAGGTGAAACAATAGGAAGTGAGAGAAATCTACCCCTAGGAAGGGAAATTCATTCCTGAAAGAGTTATCATGGGGAAAAGGTGTCTCCACTGAAGCTTTATCACCAATCTTTGCTTCTAGAAGTTAAATTTTTCAAAACCCAATAATCATAGGGACAGAAAGCAAGGTGAAATTTTCTGAACAGCAGCACAGACAGCAAAACAAACACTACAAACCCAACTATTCCAGCATTTTATATCCACATTTTGATTGGTTTACAGCTGGAATAATAAACTGATTGTGTGGACAATTTAATCAGCAGCTATTACTGATTTTATTTGCTTGTGTTAGTTGTATATGTTTGGTTTTATGTACATGTTTTATTGATCTTAATGTTGATGTATTGCATTTCATGTGTTATATGGCATCTTTGTGCACTATTTTGTAAACCACCCCGAGTCCCTAAGGGAGATGGTGGCAGGGTATAAAGTTTAATCAGTTCACAAGCTGATTGGCCCTCCTACCCATAACCAAATATCTGGCTTTTGCACTTTACTATCAGACTTGCCCTTACAGTTGTATTGAACAAATTGACCTGGCCCTTCTAGTCCTAACTTAACTTCTGGCTCTTGAACTTTACTATTAGACCCGTCCTTGCAGTTGTATTGCACAAGCCCTTGCCTCACCCTTTTACTTCCGAACATATCCACTGTGCTCAGCTACTGGTTGCTGATAGTTAATGGTTTTTGCTGCCCTGGAGTCTAGGTCGCAGAACAATGGCTTCAAACTACAGGAAAGGCGATTCCACCTGAACATTAGGAAGAACTTCCTGACTGTGAGAGCTGTTCAGCAGTGGAACTCTCTGCCCCAGAGTGTGGTGGAGGCTCCTTCTTTGAAGGCTTTTAAGCAGAGATTGAATGGCCATCTATTGGGGGTTCTTTGAATGCAATTTTCCTGCTTCTTGGCAGGGGGTTGGACTGGATGGCCCACAAGTTTTCTTCCAACTCAGTGGTTCTATGATTTTATGTTTTTATGATGTTTTGTATATGCATTTTATTGTGCTATATTTTAACTCTGTTGATTGGGCTTGGGCCCCTTGTAAGCCCTGTGAGTCCCTTCGAGGAGATGGTGGTGGGATACAAGAATGAAGTTATTATATTATTAAATAACTAGCTGTCCCCTGTCACACATTGCTGTGGCCCAGTCTGTGTATATGTGTTTTGCATGTATATATATTTATGTATATATGTGTGCTTGCATATATGTGTGTGGTTTTGTGCATGTGTTGTAATGTATTTTTATTTTTTGGCTTTTAAAGTCTCTTCTGCTGTGTTTTTCAGTGTTTTTATGACTGATAGTCACTTATTGGCCTGATAGGTGCCTTGTGTCCAAATTTGGTATGGTTGTCCAGTGGTTTTTGAGTTATGTCAATCCCACAAACAAACATTACATTTTTATTTATATCGATATTATTATTATTACAGGGATGTTGACCTTTCCCTATGCTATACAAAGCGATAGGTATATATATGGCTGGAGTTGTACTTAAAAATGTACCTGTTCCAAACAAATTCAACTTAAGAACAAACCTACAGAACCTATCTTGTTGGTAACTTGGGGACTGCTTGTACTGTTGATGGCTTTCATAGCCAGAATCACTGGGTTGTTGTAGGTTTTTTTAGAAGTATTCTCTCCTGACGTTTCATCTGCATCTGTGGCAGGCATCCTCACAACCTCTGAGGATGCTTGTTACAGATGCAGGCGAAACGTCAGGAGAGAATGCTTCTAGAACATGGCCATACAGCCCGAAAAACCTACAGCGACCCACTACCTGTACTGTGTTTTCCATACAGTGATGGAGCTTCCCTTAAGCGGTGCTTTGTTTGTGTGCCCGGCGCCCTCTAGCGGCCAGAGCGGTCCCTCCCGGGCTCTCCTGAAAAAAAAAAGTTCCAGGAGGAAAGTTTGGGGAAAGTTTGGAAGGCGCTTCAAAGTGGCGTCTCTTCCTCCTCACCGCCCCCCCCTCTCACCCCGCGCCTTAAACGCGCTCTCCGCCCCAATCCGTTCTCCTCCCGGCTTTTTTTTTCCTGGCGGGCTGCGCGTGAAAAACTGACATGATGACATCCCCCCGCCAGTGCCCGCCTTCCCGGTGCCTGTTCAAATAGCAATGCCCTAAAAACCTCCGGCCGCCGAGCCCGGATCCACACCACAGCCCTCATCCCGGGAAGAGAAGGAAGGAAGGAAGGCAGGAAAGAAGGGAGAAGCCCCCTCCCCTTCCCCACATTTCAGACTCTTCGGGAGAGCCCCCTTGGCTGAGGATGGCAGAGGCTGGGGAGCCGCCGGGGCCCCCCCTTTAAGGCCTTTCTCTTCGGGGCCCGCGGGGCCAGAGGCGGACAGGAGCCTCCCCAGGATGCCGCCCCACCTGGCGCTGCTGCTGGGCTTGCTCTCGGCGGCACTGGGGCTGCTTTGGCCCGCGGCGGCGGCGGCAGTGGCGAGACCGGAGCCCAGCAGAAGGCGGCAGCAGCTCCAGCAGCTCTTGGACCCCGGGCGGTGCGAGTTGCCCCGAGCGGTGAGGAGGAGGAGGAGGAGGAGGAAGTGGAGGAGGAGGAGGCCGGCTGGTTGGAGGGGAAACGCGGAGTGGACCGCCAGCTTGGGTGGGATGCCTTCCGCATTCGAGGGTGCCCCAGCCTTGCCCAGAGTTTGACAGCATTTGAACTGCCTTGGCTCAAACTCTCACCCGAAGCCCTAAGCTAAAGCGGAGTCAGAGCCCTTGGATGGCAAAAGCATGGCAGGGGCTTGGACTGGATGGCCTTTGGCGCCTCTTCTCTTTCTCTTAGGGTCCTTATATCCCAGAATATCCAGGCAGAAAACCCCACATTATCTGAGTGTGGACTCGGATAACACAGAACCCTTCCACACAGCCTCATAGCCCAGAATATCCAGGCAGAAAATCCTATAATATCTGAGTGTGGACTCAGATGACCCAGAGCCCTTCCACACAGCCTTATATCCCAGAATATCAAAGCAGAAAATCCCGCAATATCTGCTTTGAACTGGGTTATCTGAGTCCACACTCAGATAATGTGGGATTTTATGCCTTGATATTCTGAGATATAGGGCTGTGTGGAAGGGCCTCCAGGTAACCCAGTTCAAAGCAGATATTTTGGGATTTTCTGCCTTGATATTCTGGGATATAGGGTTGTGTGGATGGCCCCTAATCTTAGGGTGTATGAATGAATGCAGTTTGACATGGCTTGAATCGCTTTGGCTCCACGGTGTGGAATCATTAGAGTTCCAGGTCTCTTCCACACAGCCCAATAACCCAGAATATCAAGGCAGAAAACCCCACATTATCTGAGTGTGGGCATATGGCCCTTCTACACAGCCCAATAACCCAGAATATCCAGACAGAAAATCCCACAATATCTGCTTTAAACTGGGTTACCTGAGTCCACACTCAGATATTGTGGGATTTCCTGCCTTGATATTCTGTGCTATATGGCTGTGTGGAAGGGCCTTCAGATGACCCAGTTCAAAGCAGATATTGTGGGATCTCTTGCCTTGATATTGTGGGATATAGGGCTGCGGTGAAGGGCCCCCACTTTGCACTCTCGGGCAGAGAAGGCTGAGAGGAAAGCTCTCAGGATGCCATAGCAATTATAAAGCGGTGTCCAACCGCCTTCATTCCAGTCTCGATGTGGGTCTCTCCCTAAGGTTGGGAGAGCCCACAAGGGCCCTGCAGGCCAACCCCCAAGGCGAGTCCTTTCAAAGAGAGCGGCCCCTCAAAGTGGGAATGGTCTGAAGTTGTCGCTCCACATCTGAGGCATCCGCTTCCTCTGCCACTCAAGGTGGCAGGTTCTCAATTGGAAGGGCAAAGGCACCTTCCGGGGATTGGGCACGGGAAAACTATATCTCCCAGAAGGATTCTCCCGAGGCAGCCTTGCCCGTCGCGGGGCTTTGGGAAAGAGAGCTCCTTTTGCACTTATGCCCAGAATACCCGGTCGGGTCAGCAGAAATTTGGGGAGGGGGGGGGGGAATGAGTTATTTTGTAGATCAGCAGGGCTTGGGGAAAGTTAGTCCTTTTAAAAGGCAATTTTCTGAATCACCTTTAGAATCCCTTCCAGCTTTTGCATTGCAACTTCGCAAATCCCCAGCCAGATCAGCAGGGTTAGGAAAGTTAGTTAGCTTCCACTACAGCTCCCAGAATTCCCCCAGCTCTGGGAAATGCAGTTATTTTGGACTACAACTCCCCGGCCAGATCAGCAAAGCTGTAGAAAAGCCAGTCCAGCTGGGAGACTGTATGAAAGAGCTATAGCTCAAAAAGATTAACTTTCCCAAAACCCTGCAGAACTTCCCCAAGACCAAGGCTTGGTACTCCATTGAAACCAGGGGATGTGTAAAGTCAGGAGGGATAGCATCAGGTGCATAATTCGGATGGAAAGGGGACCCATCTTATTTTTGCTTCCTAGGTTGCATCTACACTGCAAAATTAATTCATGCTGATGCCATTTTAACAGCCAGGGCTCCGTGCTATGGAATCACAGGAGTTGTAGTTTTGCAAGGTCAGGAGTCTTTGCTGCCAAAGAGTGTTGGTGCCCCACCAAGCTACAACTCTCAGGCTTCTGCAGCATTGAGCCATGGCAGTTAAAGTGGTGTCAAACTGAATTAATTCTACAGTGTGGATGCACCCCAGTCTTCCAAAACTTCCACCCTGCTTTGTGCATTCAAAATTAAAACGGCAATAGTGCTAGTATGGAGAGGCTGGGTCCCCTTCTCAAAAAAAAAAAAAGAATAAAATTCCACATTATCTGCCTTGTACTAAAATATATGGCAGTGTGGACTCAGATATCCCAGTTCAAAGCAGATACTGTGGGATTTTCTGCCTTGATATTTTGGGTTATATGGTTGTGTGGAATGGCCCTCAGTCTTTTTGTCTCTTCTCTCATTCCCTCAATAACAGTGGAGCCCACCTTGTAATTTCTATAGAAATATCCACCTTGCGCTTCAAGAAGTCAAACATAATTTTGAAAAAAAAAACCCTCAGACTTTATTGCTGTCCTTTTTAGAGAGCTGAAAACAGCATTAACTTGCTTGTGCAACTTCTCAAAGGATTCCTGATTTCTCTGATATTTATCAACTTTTCTATCCCCATCAATTCCTTCCTATTCCATGAAAGTAGAATCTTTAGACAAACACAAAGTTCCTATTTTGTGTATTCATTAGCCATTCCTTTAACTGCATTTGAAGAAAAAGCCTTGGTATTTAGAAGAGCTAGATATACTACACTGCCTAGTAGTTATGTTAAGATCAATGGAACTGTGGTTGCCTTCCTGGGTACATTTACTTGGGAGTAAAGTCAGGTAAGAAAAATATACTTCAGAACATGCATTTGTAAGACAGACCTTTGTTTTTGTGTGTCTTCAAATCATTTCTGATGTAGACAACTCTATGGTGAATCTATAACAGATTGTAATTGGCAACAGTGTGACTTGCTGAACATTATTGAATGGATTTCCATGCAGAGTGAGGATTTAAAGTCTGATTTCCAGAGTTGTAGGCTGGGTCTACACTGCCCTATATTGCAGGATCTGATCCCAGATTATCAATTTATCCCAGATTATCTGGCAGTGTAGACTCATATAATCCAGTTCAAATCTGGTAATCTGGGATCAGATCCTGAGATATAGGGCAGTGTAGATCCAGCCACAGTCCAGTGCTCAAACCACTACACTGCACTGTTTCTAAGAAAAAGCTTTAGATACTTCAGGTAATTACATGTGTGATACATGAGAGCAAATGAGCCATGGGATTACCCATGGGAAATTGTGCAGGAAATGAGCTGCGTCCACCTGTATGCTGCATACTTGGCACAAATTCCAACTATATTTTGTATGTTATGTGTGTTTGTGTGCTTATGGTCAAACATAGATTAAAACAGTGGTTCCCAACTTTTTTTTGACCAGGGACCTCGACCACGGACCACTCACCAACATTACTACCAAAAGGGTTACAAATCAGTTTTTGGTCAACTGTAGATTCAGTTTGGGGTGCTGATTTGGAAAATTGCATTGGATAGACAACATCAGCTCTAGTTTCTGATACAGAACATATGCCATGGTCAGCGACAGGGAAGGAATGGCAGGTGGCATGAAAGGAACAGAAATAAAATACATAAAATAAGGAAATAAAGAAGGAGGAGGCTTGCGGATCAGATTTTCATCCTCGTAGCCCACTGGTGGTCCGTGGCTCACAGGTTAAGAACCACTGGATTAGAAGAACAAAATGTGTGACCTTGTAGGAAAATCATATGTTTCAATAAAACATGCATAGCAACATGTAAATCCCTTTCCCCCTTACATCTTCATCATCATCCTGTTGTTGTGTCCATTACAGCCAGCTTTTCTGCCTTGAGAAGATTTATTCAAAAGGAGTTCACCTTAAACTGAGAAAGTGTGGTTTGTCCAAGATCACTGAATGAACTTTCATCAGCAAGTGGGAATTGGAACCTTAGTGTCTCGGCATCTTAGAGTGTTTCTACACTGTAGAATTTAGCACTTCAATTGCCATGCTTCGATGCTATGGATTCATTGGAGTTGTAGTTTGGTGTAGTCTTTGACAGTGAAGGCTATAATCCTTGAAAAAGTACAACTCCCTTTATTCCATACCATTGATCCGTGTTAAAGTGGTATGAAACTGCATTCATTCTACAGTATAGATCAGTGGTTCCCAACCTTTTATTGACCAGGGACCACTTGACCCAGGACCACTTTAACCAGGGACCACTCTCCAACATTAGTACCAAAAGGGTTATGAATCAGTTTTTGGTCAACTTTAGATTTGGTGTGGTTATTTGGGGTACTGATTCAGAATCAGTACCCAAAATAGACCACATTGGATAGACCACATCAGCTCTAGTTTCTGATACAGAACATATGCCATCCAGTAATTGCCATTTCCTCGCCCACAGAGAACCATATTTAATAATCTAGAGCTGATATGATAGTAGTAATATTTTGTGGGTAGTCAGCCTCTCCCCTCCAACATCCCTGTTGCCTTGGCACTATAAGAGGGTTTCGGGAGACCAGTCACTCTCATTGACACATGGTTTTGAGGCAATAGTGTAGTAATGGTGAGGCTGCGGACCATTTTTTGTCCTTGTGGATCACTGGTGGTCCACGTACCACAGGTTCGGAACCACTGGTGTAAATGCATCCTAAGTACAGCATTCAAACCACAATACCACATTGGCCATCACATTATTATTATACATATATGAATACCAACATAATAATTTATTTTGCCTTTGTGGTGATTGCTACCGTAGTATAATATAATACCTATAATTCCAGGCTATAGCCTGTGGTTCCATGCTATAATGGCTTTTAAACAAGTTTTCTCCTAGCTGTACCACTTTTTAAACTGCAAGAACTGTGCAATGAGTATTACAAGATAACTTATCAGAGTGGAGTGTTTGTCCCTATTTGGTCTTGATATTATCTTTCTAGAGTGTCTGGTTTCTGCTTGGTGAATCACAGATTAAAAAAATGGAATCCACAAACTACTTAATCCATGCTGGAATAGTTGCATGGATTTCTGTTGAAGAATTCCAGAGTAGATGAGCTGCAGTTCAGTTTTTTTAAAAAATCCTCACACATGTACCATCTATAGGTCTGCATTGAGCCTAGAAATGTTTATATTAATATCAACAGTATTTGCTTTGATGTCGGTCTGGTTAGGAATAGGGAACATGTTTGGGAAAAGGATGGTTTGAAAATTGCTTTGCAGACTTAGTTTAAATTAAATGATAAATGTAAGCTTGATCTACACACACGATTCCTGTCTGTGTTACTTTTTACTTTTTTCATTTAGCTGTTCCCAGTGGTTATGATGGCTAGGAGATTCTGAGTGCTTCAGTCCAAAAGCCCCTTCTCTCTGCTGCTAAATCTCTTGCTAATCTTGAATATATTTCTCTTAGCTGAGTTACTTTCTTGGTTCTTTTTTTTTTCTAGCAAAAAGAATTGAACTCTTTCCTCTGGACAATCCGGAGAGACCCTCCTGCCTATCTCTTTGGTACCATCCATGTGCCTTACACTCGTGTGTGGGACTTTATCCCAGAGAACTCCAAGGCTGCTTTTCAGACCAGCTCCAATGTGTACTTTGAGTTGGATCTCACTGACCCTTACACCATCTCTGGCCTGGCCAGCTGCCAGCTGCTGCCTCACGGGGAGAACTTGCAAAATGTGCTTCCCCGGGACCTTTATCACCGGCTCAAGCGCCACCTTGAGTATGTCAAGTTGATGCTGCCCCACTGGATGACCCCAGACCAAAGGGGCAAAGGGCTTTATGCTGATTACCTCTTCAATGCTATTGCTGGAAACTGGGAACGCAAGCGTCCTGTCTGGGTGATGCTGATGGTCAACTCTCTCACTGAAACGGACATCCGCTCTCGGGGTGTTCCTGTACTGGACCTCTATTTGGCTCAGGAAGCAGAGAGGATGAAGAAAAGGACAGGAGCTGTGGAGAGAGTGGAAGAGCAATGCCATCCTCTGAATGGGCTGAACTTCTCCCAGGTAAGAAGGAGCAAACCACACATGTACATTCAAACCTTAAAGACAAGTTGCTTCCTTTAAGAAAACAACAATCCTAACCTGTATGAGGCTGAGCTAGCCAGAACCTCAGAGTCCAAACCATTGTGTGTCTTAGGTTAAAGCAGTATTTCCCAATCTCTAGTCTTCCAGGTGTGATGTCTGGGAGTTTGAGAAACACTGGTCTAAAGTTTCTTTGCATCTACCAATAGATCCTTTCTATAAAACTAGTTTGAATAGGACCACAGCAAGTGAACTCTCATTTCTGACGGTATCCCGTACACATATTAAACACTGAACTTGTTCAAGTTACTTTCTTGCACTATAATTTCCAGAATTCTTCAGTAAACACAGTCTGTGACCCTGTTGACAGTGAGGTTTTGACCATTACAGTCCAGAAAAGAACTTTTCCAATCTCTCTCACACCCAGATACACAAGATCAAGAAACAAGGGGGTGTGTTTTGTGGTCAAATGATTTAGAACACAAGGAAGATCATAAACAGGGGGTCTCCCTGGATTGTCAAGAGGAAGCTCAGCTGCTTTGAGTCTCTTTGTGAAGAGAAAAAGTAGGGTATTAATTACCAACAACAACAACAACAGATCAACCGTGGTACTTTAAAAATTGAGTCCATAACTCACATGCATATGCTCCCTAAAATTCAGAGCAAGTGACTTAGGAAACAGTGTCAATGCTGTAGTGTGTTGTTTTTAGGACATAAATTTCAGGGCTTCTCTGCTTAAAAGAGTAGTTTATGTTTTTTTCCCTTTAAAAGCTTTTGCCCTATTGTTGCCTGGCTGCACAGTATTGACCACATCCTTATGTGGCTCAGCCACAAATATTCTGGTTTTGATCTGTGAAATGTTGGAGGGTATGGGACTACATAAGGGCATGCATTGTGCTGGTTAACTAATTTGCCTGTTGTTTGTTATCACATTAACATATGAGGTTTTCAAATCAAGCTTGTCCCTTGTTTACAGCCACATTGACACTCTTTGCTTTTACAGACTATGCATGTATCAGTTGATTTAGGTAATGGGCTTCAGATGCTTTTCTGAAAAATAAATTGTCTGAGTTGTTTTCGATAGAACAAGTGTTTTTCATTAACAATCTCCAAAATATCACCTGTTAAAATATGTAATTAGTTGATAGGCCTGCCAAAAATAGATGGCTGGATTGGAATGAAATGGGAAAAACATGCTAGCAGAAACATGATTTACTAGCACTAAGTATCCAATTTGCTTGTTTGTAGAAACAACTTCACCCCTTTTACAGTCCCAACAAAAATGCAATGTGTGAGAAAAGGCCCAGGGCGTTCTCTAGAGAATCTTATAATCATATTATACACAAAGGGAGTGGGAGAGTTTTAGCCTTTCAGATGTTGTTGCACCATGGCTCCCATCATCCTTGACCCTGCTGGTTGTAACTAATGGAAACTAGAGTTCAGCATGACCACTCAGTTCTCCACTTTGCTGAGTGCTCTTGATCAATGGCTTTCAACCTTTGGTCCTCTAGCTGTTTTGGATTTCAGCTCCCAGAATTCCTAAATATTGGCCATAGTTGCTGGATCTCTACAAACCAAAGTCTGGAACATCTGGAGGATCAAAGTTTGAGAACCACTGCTTTAAACATTCTCTTTCCAAATGTGATTCAACTCCAGACAGGGATATTTGTAACAAATAAGCACACAGTTTATCTCATCTGTGCAGACACATTCTTTGCAAATGTAAGCAGATAATTATTTATCATCAAATCCTAATGCTTGCTTTATTAGGAAATACTTTCATAAGATTTTACTAGATCATATGTTGGACCAATTCAGATCATTTAACAAATTTCTTACCTGGGTGACAGTTGAAATAATAAAAATAGTTAAAGTCGAGGTTTCCAGTTTATTAACAATTTCTTTATCATTTAAGGAGCCCTGTTAATTAGCAGGCAAACCTAAATACCCTAAAGGCAAGTGTAAATACCCATCTGACTTTGGAAGCTAAGCAGGTCAGCCCTGCTTAGTACTTGACTGAGAGACTGCCAAGGAACAGTAGATGCTGCCGGCTATATTTCAGAGGAAGGAACTGGCAAAACCTCCTGAGTATTTCTTACCTAAGAAAACACTATGACATTAATGAAGTCATCATAAGTTGACAAGTGACTTGAAGTCACACACATTAATTAGCCGGCTAGCAAAATTATATTCTGGATATTTTAAACAGTAAAAATATTACAAATCTTAATAACTTCAGTCATATATAACTACTGAGTATATCATTCATTGAAATTAAAATCCAAAATGTAAAAGCTACTTTCAAAATCTAATAAAATAGTTAACAGTAAATTCAGTAAATATTTTTCAACTTATTCATTTGTAAAGTGAGTGAGTAGAAGCAAGGTTTTCTTTATTTATTTGTAGGTTGGACAAAGTCTCTGCTATGCAGCTTTCTCATTTTCCAAAGAGTTAAATGTCAGTTTCTGACATCAACTGCCTTCTACTTTAAAAGATGTTTATAATAATTAGCCAAAAACAAAATGTGCCTTGGATGACATTGAGGCTCTGCTGGTTAAATAGTTCTTAAAATAAAGCTTAATGTACTTTGGGAAGCCTTTCAAATGTAAATTATCCTATACATTTTCATTGCTGTAAGTGGAGATTTTTTTTGTTTTTTTAAAAAAGTTCTCTTGGGATAGGAAGTAATATTGATATTTTTCTTTAGTCCCGATTTTAACTCTGCCAGTAACAACCCTTTTAATATTTATATCTGCTTTTCTGCATAAGAAAGCAAAAAAGGATGAAAGATTATATGGCCAAGCCATTAGTTCAAAATGTTTGTTTAAGAAAGTGGAATGATCTTTGCTACATGTGGATATTTCCAGAATTTATCTGTCAAGTCTGAAATATTTGTTCAGAAGGTGTTTGTCAAAAAATCTATACCAGGTCTTAAAAATGCTACTTTTAGACTTTAACATCCAGAATTCTGCATCCATCTCAAGTAAACACTGGCTGGAGTATTCTGGGAGTATTCTGCACTAAATGGCATTTGATGACTATATGATATGTTTCTATTTCTTATGTATCCTGATGGAAGAAGTGGAAGAAGTCAGCAAAATATAGGTTATAAATCATATTTGATTTAAAAATTTGGTTCTTTTAAAAATTCTGAGTCAAGAGAGGAAGAAATAAAGCACACATAACTAGCTGCTTCTTTTTTGTGCTTTCTAAGAACTGGCCAAACTTGGCACCTGGTAACTTCTTCAAAGAGAGCAATTTGTAATGTTACCATTCTGTCTAGCAATCCCATTGCTTAGTGTATTGTGGCCTCAGTTGAAAGGAGAGGATTACAATGAACCAGATTTCCTTTCTTAATGCTGAACTTTGGAACTTGTCCTAAAAAACATATAATTAGTGGTATTAATGATGGAAATGAGAAATTGACCAGAGTTTGTATTCCAGTGGTACTTTTCAGCTGGTGGGAACATCTGTGATCATTTATAGCCCTGAATCTGTTTCGGGCATCCCTAGAGCTCTTTTTAACCAGCTTTCAGCATTAGTTTAATTGTAGTCTATAATTTGAACAGTTTGGAAACTGCATCCTAATACGAATGCTATACTGAAACATCCTTACAATGTGTCCCCCCAGTCAATTTAAAATTATTTGTCAGGGAAATTAAGTGGGGGGTTTTCTCGTTTTCCATCTCAGAGTGGTTATACTTTAATTAACATTTCTTCAGTTTACATGCTACTGAAAATTTAAATAAGGCTTACACATCTCCATTTAGCAGATGATGACTTTTTAATGATTTTGATTTAAAAGGTGAATATGTTTGAAAGACAGAAGAGAAAGCTGTAAAGGTCCAATCCAGAATTAGCTGCGTTGTTTCAACCTTATATGTTCAAATACTGTATCAGTTCTCAAAATGGTATCTAGAATGTGCTTTCAACCCTTTACACATTTACTTTTAATTTCAACAAAGCATGCACACAAATTAATCTTCCGTTGACCTAAAACATAAGTGAATGGAGTCTAGGCTACTTTCGGCAATAAACATATGTGGTCCATCCGCTAAAGACAGAAACAAAAAGTGAGATGGAGTCAGATACAAAGGGATGGATTGGGATGGAAACCATTATCTATTCTATCTTATGAATCATAATCTAAAGTGTATCCCCACTACACTTTAGATACACCAAATTATACTACTTTGGTTACTTTAATTATGATAACTTCATCCTACTGAATTCTGGGATTTGGAATTTTATGAGGTACTTAGAATTTAAGAGTATTTTATAGTTGTAGGTCATGAGAATGGACTATCAAATGTAGATTCAAATTAGAAATCCAAGGAGTCTACTGGATGGAGCCATAGCAATTAAAATGGCATCAAATTCTATAATTGTGGATACAGGTCTAAAGTGATCTGGAAATACAAGTATAAAATCTACATCTGTATCACCAGAGCTTTGAAACATTTCTTCTTTGAGTGTCAGCTTCCATAATCCATCAGCTAATAGTTATGCTGCCTAGGATATTCTATTTGACAATTCTGGTATACAAAAGTAATTTTTCTATTAAGGATCAGGTACATTCAAATTGATTTTAAAGCAAAGTTCTTAATTTTGGCAGCAGAGCTGCACAAATTATTATTATTATTATTATTATTATTATTATTATTATTAAACTTTATTTGTACCCCGCTAGCATCTCCTGAAGGACTCAATACGGCTTACAAAGGCCAAGGCCTCAACACAACAACAGCAAACAATAACAATATGATACAAAGCAAAAATTAAACATAAGCAATGATAAAACATTACACTATTACACAGTAAAAACCAGGGCCGGGCTAATGATGGGTACAGATTAAAAAGTGCTGGATGTGATGGTGGTATGTTGCAATTCTGGGCAAGTGCAATGTGCAGAGAGTCTTAACTCTAATAAAGTGCTTCTGGGACATAGTGCTGGGGGTTATCCTATTCTGGAAAGGCACATC